CGCCGCCGCGTTCCGACGCCGAGCGCTCCGCGAGCTCCCTTCCCGCCCCCGGAAAAGCGGGATCCCAGCCCTCCACACGCCACGGCCGGCCTCCCGCCTCCTCCCCGGGGAATTATTTGGGAGCAAAAAAAAACACCCCAAAAAAACTCAGGAATTCCCGCCCCGCTTTTCGGGGAATTCCGGAAGCTCCCACCTTCCTCGGCGTCGTGCCGGGCGGCCGCTTCCAGGAGGCGGACGCTGGCCGGGAACGTCACCCTCTTCCCGGGGCTCCCACCGGCGCTGCCGCCGCTGCTGCTGCTCTTCCTCCTCCTGCCCCTCTTCCTCTCGGCTCCCGCCTTCGCTCCCGGCGCCTCCTTTTCCGCCTGCGCCCACTTTTTGAGCTGCTGCTGCCGCCGCCTCTGGGCGTGCTGGAGCCGCTCCGGGGTGCTGAGCCGGGACACCGCCGGCATCTCCGCCAGCAGCTCCGCGTGCTCCGCCATGGCCAAAGCCCGGGGAGAGCGTCGCCGATCCCGCCGGGAAGGAGCCGTGGGAGACGTTTCTCCACCAGCGGCATCACCTCCCCCCCCAGCTCCCGGCGGTGGCCTATCCCTGTTTCCCGAGGTTTCCCCGCGGGGTCACCGCGCGTTCCGGAGACAGGGGCGGGAGTTTGGGAAGCATCTCCCCCTTGCCCGGGTGCTGTGGGTGCTGCGGGAGGCCGGAATTCCCGCCGGGATGAGGGTGGAGGGCGCTCCTTAAGGCTCGAGGGGCATCCGAAGGCGCGGGACGGCGGCGGCGGATCCGAAGGCGCGGCGCCGGAAAAACCCCCTCAGCTCGATCCCGAATGATCCCACCGGGTTATCCCGCCGAGCTTCTGCCTTCCCGCCCTCTGGAAGCGCCTCCCGGTCATCCAGCGGCTCCGGGATCAGCGGGGAGCCGGCTCGGCACGTCCCGGGCCGGCGGGATCTCCTCCGGGATAACGCCGCGACGGCCGCGGCGGGATGAGCTCGGCACGGCCGGAATCCTGCGGGAAGGAGGAGGAGGAGAAGGAGGGATTGTTAAACCCAGGGAGAGGCTCCTGCCCGACCCCACGGCCGGTTCTCCCGGTTTTCCTAAGCCGGGATTAACCCACAATCCACGCGGGAGGGAATTCCCGACTCCGGAGCCGCAGGGACACCTCGAAGGGAAGGGAAGGGAAGGGAAGGGGGGGTTTTACCGGGAAGGGATCGCCGGGATCCGAGGCCGGATAAAGGGAGGGGATCCCGGCACGTCCCGGCCGTGCCGGAGGATTCCGGGTGGGTGCGGAAAAACCGGGAGAGCCGCCGCCCCCGCGCCGGCATCGCCCTCTGGGCAGGGCCGGGGCAGGAACGGGCGGATTCCGCCCCGTGCGATTCCCAAACCGGCTCCTGTTCCCCCCCCACACCCTTCGGAATCGCGGCCGCTCCACCGGGCAAAGTCCGGGCGGGCGAAGGGAAAGAATTCCGGCGCCTTAATCCCGGGGTTAAATCCCTTCGGAACGCCGAGGGAAAGGGCAAAGCCTTGGGAGGGGGGTGGGGGGTGGGAGGGATCGATCCCGCTCCGATCCCACCGATCCCACCGCAGGGGGATCCCGCCGGGATCGAGCCGTCGGGACGGATCCCCCCGGAGCCGCCGAGCCCGCGCCGGGAATGCCGGTGGAAAAACTGGACCCCCGACCCCGCAACTGCTCCGTGAATCCACCCCGAAAATTCCCGAAACGGCCCCGAATTTCGGGAGTTGGGGACATCGGGGTCCCATTCGGGGTCCCTTGGGGACATCGGGGTCCCCTCAAGGGTCTTCAGGGGACATCGGGGTCCCCCTGAGGGTCCCAGGGGGACAAATCCTCCCCTTGGGGACATTGGGGTCCCATTTAGGGTCCCTTGGGGGCATTGGGGTCCCCTCAAGGGTCTTCAGGGGACATCGGGGTCCCATTTAGGGTCTCAGGAGAACAAATCCTCCCCTTGGGGACGTTGGGGTCCTATTCAGGGTCCCTTGGGGGACATTGGGGTCCCCTTGAGGGTCCCAGAGGGACAAATCCTCCCCTTGGGGACATTGGGGTCCCCTTGAGGGTCCCTTGGGGACATTGGGGTCCCCTCAAGGGTCTCAGGAGAACAAATCCTCCCCTTGGGGACATCGGGGTCCCCCTGAGGGTCCCTTGGGGACATCGAGGTCCCACTGAGAGTCCCTTGGGGACACTGGGGTCCCATTCAGGGTCCCTTGGATACATCGGGGTCCCCTCAAGGGTCTTCAGGGGACATCGGGGTCCCCCTGTGGGTCCCAGGGAGACAAATCTTCCCCTTGGGGACATCGGGGTCCCCCTGAGGGTCCCTTGGGGACATTGGGGTCCCCTCAGGGGTCTTCAGGGGACATCGGGGTCCCCCTGAGGGTCCCTTGGGGACATTGGGGTCCCCTCAGGGGTCTTCAGGGGACATCGGGGTCCCCCTGAGG